GTGTAAAATTAATGCCATGGACTACTAGTATACAATAATGTTATTGGCAATTTTTGTTTTATATTTTACTCCAGTTATCGTCAGTATCGTGGTTTGTTAGCTGCAGAAGTAGTCCAGTTTCTTGCATTGTGCCATCGTTTTTTGACTTGATGCAAAATGACCCTGGAGTGATGCAGCTTGTGTCAGCTGCGTCTGGCGATGGTGATCATCGAAAGTGAGGTTAAAACTAGACTTCAATTTTATCAGAAATTGGTTTGATCAGACTGATTGTGTATCCTGGTGTCTAACATATCTGCTCAAACAAGTCATATGGATTTCCATGCCTGTCGGTGCTTTACCCTGAGAGCAGGATAGTGGAGTTGACAAAGGTATTTTGTGGCAGAATGGCTATAACAAATTTGAGGCTAAAACTGATAGTCAAGTTCAGTTTGATTTTAGATACTTGCTTATGTACAGTAATTTTTAAATTGAATTTCCATGCATCCATTTATATTGAACATTTTAAGTTTTAGTAGCGGGTACAGCAGCAGACTCAAGATAAAGATGATTATTAGTATTGGCTTCTATATACGGAGGTCAAGAAGAGTTTAAGTGATAATGATTGCATTATTGTAAATGAACATGATGTTAGGTTACTTTTCAAAAAGATTAAATTAGGCAAGTCTGCTGGTCCAGTTGGAGTGTCCTCCTCTTTGTTAAGACATTGCGCTAACAAACTTTTCCTATGTTTTTTGCAAGTTACTTCAATGGTCATTGGATCTTCATTCTGTTCCCTCTCTCTGGAAATTCTCTTCTATTACTCCCATTCCAAGAAATCTACTGCTTCCTCTCTAAATGATTTCCGACCGATTGCTCTCACTGCTCTTCCTATGAAATGTTTAGAATCTATTGTAAAACATCACTTGCTTGTTAAGTGTGGATCTCTTCTTGATCCACTTCAGTTTGCCTACACAAAGAAACGTAGTGTAAATGATGCTTTCATTTAACTCTACTACATACTCACCTTGAGAAACCTCGATCCTATGTTCGCTCTATCTTCTTTGACTTCTCTTCTGCCTTTAACACCCTACAACCTCATATTTTCCTTAATAAACCTCAACTTATGCAGGTAAACCCGCACCTTGCGCTATGTATAAACCGACTTTCTCTGTAGTAGGCCTCAAGTACTGTAGTTAGGATGGTAATCTTAAGTCAGGTATTTTAATACACACTAATACAGGCACACCGTACTATCCCCTATCTTGTTCTCGTTATACACTAACAAATTTCAAATTGAAGATAACTACTGTATCATGATTAAATATGCAGATGATACCTCCATATCAGGCCTAATACTTCAGGGAGACGAACTTGCCTATAGAAATTGTGTTAATTGATTTGAAACGTGGTGTAAGGATAATTATCTCCAACTAAATGCTTCTAAAACTAAAGAAATCATATTTGATTTTCGTCAAAACAAAACGCCTTTAAATGCTATTAGTGTAACTGGAAACAATATACATAAATACTTAGGAATTATTGTTGACTCGAAACTTAACTGGAACTCTAAACACACTGCTACTCTGAAAAAAAAAGCTAATCAACGTCTTTACTTTTTACGACTCAAGTCCTTCAATGTCAGCACTGAGGTATTACTATTATTTTTTAAAAGTGTTATATTAAGTATACTTGCTAGCAACTGTATTTTATGGTACAGCAACTTATCTGAGGTCAATAAACATAAAATACTCAGAACCATGAAATCTGCTCGTAAAATTATCGGCTCTGATGTCGATAATTTTGATGACATATACTGTATACAAGAACTGTGCTGAAGAAGCTTGATAACATAATTAAAGACATGTGACATCCTATGTTCTTGCAATACACCTTTAATAGATCCAGTCGCTTGCGTCCAATCAAGTGCAATACTAATAGATTAAGAAGATCTTTTATTCACAACTCAATCCATATGTACAATGATGACTTTAATAGATAAACTTCAGTATCTACCCTTGTAAATAATTGTATCATTTTGTATTTTCTGTTTTATTTTAATTTGTCCTTGATTAATTTTTTATTATATGTCTAACTTTTATACTAATTTTATTTTTGCATCGGGAAGACGAATTTTACTTGTATTTTATGTACCAGTGAGAATAAAAGAACCTTGTATCTTGCATCTTGTATATTCATGCATACGTTTTTTTTAATGCAATTTACTAACAAAAAAAATGTGAAATAACTGGTTTGTTGATCATTTCTAGAGCAAGACTTGGAACACAATTAATTCGATTTGGAACTGTATAGTGGTTTTTTAAAAATTGTAATCTGTTATTACTGTATTTTATTTTTATTATTTGAATTTGAATAATTATACATGTAATATCTGTCAACTTTGTCCATTTTAGCATGACCTGCCTCATAGATTCACAAATCCAAGCATTTGTATGATTGGAACCCAGGACCCTGAAATTGGAATTTAGGTTTATTGATCACCAAAGCTACAAATGTTTTCTAACCCATTTACATGTGACCTCCACCTGAACAGCGTTGTTTTGTTATTTTCAGGGAAGCTCCAGACGGGTGGTGGAAGAAGCTAGTGAATTAATTATGGCATCTATCTACGAGAATACAAGCAATGTAATTGGACACAAAGTTCAAGCAAAAAGCCAGTCAAGATATGTTTTATCAGTGAGTTTTATTATAACAAGAGACAGATAACCATGGTAACTATTACTGTATATAATTATTATAGTCTGTAGAAGCGTTACAACGCAATGCTACTGTATTAACCTTTAATACCATTTAGCCTGTAATAACACTTTAGTATGCTAATGTTGATTCTTCAAAACAAGCTATTCTACACCCTGAAATATATTTCTGAGGATATTTGTTTGTAATTTCTCATCAGACAGTGCATTTAGAGACAAAGGTGTGCAGATATCCTATATATTTATTAGTAGAATATCTTTTCAAAACTTGGAATTGACGAATACATTCAGCATTATTATTCAAATATTTGAGAATCACATGTATAAAGTCATCATGTTTAACCAGGTCTGCATAACACCACATTCTCACACATTTATCACTGTTAACATCAAGATTTAGAAGTGACTGCCATTGCTAATTGTTGTATAATTCTGCCTCAGATAATTTGAATATCGACTGCATGTTTGCACAAGAGTACACCATGAGTACACCATACCATAATTAGCTGTACAAGTGATGATGCACTGTTTGTAAAACATTTTAATACACTTTAATGTGCTACCAAATATAAGTGTAAATTTTTTAATTTCTTATCAGACAGTACATATTTATGGACATGGTTATCGTACATATAATAATAGATATATCATTTTTACACTTGTAATTGACCAATACAGTACATTCAGCATTGCATATTATGCATTACCAGTACATTCAGCATTGCGTATTATACATTACTCTGAGATCACATGTTCCTAACAATTAAATCCCAGGGTGCATCAGTTTTTCCTCAACTAGATCCTAGGGGGAGGGATTTGGGTTTGAATTGTAACAAGAATTTTACACTTGTTTCAGAGTATTTAGGAAAAAATCAATATTCTTCCACCTTAGGCAAAAGAGGAAACCTAGTTACCCTGCTTTTGCCAAGCTAGGCCACAGATCATGAGATGAGCTCCTCGGAGTCAACGTCCAACCATTAATTAGTTTAAGGAATAGGAGTAGTTAATAATCTCATTGTTATTATTGTTATTATGATTATTATTTTTATTTTATTTTATTGTTATCATTTTATTGTTATTTGCATTTTCTCATTTGGCCTATATTATTTCTCTGTAAAGCGCATAGGGGCAATGTGCAATATGCGCTATATAAATATAACATTATTATTATTATTA